ACATATTTAGAAAATGTTACGTGAAAGTAGATTTGCTTTTTATTAAAAAAAGAAAAAGAAAAAGAAAGTAGATTTCCTAAAATAAATTGCACAAGGCAATACCAAAGAAAAAAAAAAACACACTTTCATAATCAGCTGGTCTCTCGACTCTTCTAGGAAGCAATATAGAGGATGGAAATGTTGCAAGTAGAAATGGAATTCCCTCTTGATTAGCACGCGCTGTTTAAGCAGGACCAATTCCTTACTTGCTCCCAACATTTTCTGACAGAAGTTTACGGTGTTCATATGCTTTCTCCATAATCCGAGCAATGAAATATAACATTCGAAGAGTTTCATAAATATTTGGGAATGTGCAGGCGAAAAGAACTGCAGAAAGGACACAAATATCAGCAACAAGGGACGGATATGGGGTTAAAACTGCCGACGTTCCCGAAGCAAATGCAACCACCATTGCAATCATGGCAGAAGAATTGCACATCAAGGACATCCGTGAAGCAAGGATTGTCGCCTTTGTATACAGTAACCGAGACAGGTGAAGGAATACAGCAGAACTGGCGAGTACAAAGGCAATCGTGTTTGAAAAAAGAAACACTTTGAAAGCTAGCTTTCTAATAAGAACTGGATAGCCTGCTTGATTGGGACTATTGTCACTTGTATAGCCACTGGGTAAGGCGAAACCAGCCGCAAAGGTAACAGTTGATATGAGAATTGCTATCACTAAATTGATATCTTTCAGGTACCTGAAAACAGGCTCCAGTCCGTTTCTGGCCTTCTCGTGTACGTCCTTTTTTTTCTGATCTGATTCATCCTTCATCATTGCATCCTGATCTTCAATTCCCCCTCCTTCCTTTTTTTCTTTTTTGATCAGCAATGCCCCCTCCTTCCTTGACTTTATCTTCGTGTCTGATTTGTCCACTGGTTGCTTCGCCAACATATTTCAGAGCAAATAAAGCGAAAATCTGCAACATTACAACATATTAAATCACTTTATACGATGTATATGTGAGTTTGCAACAAGGAAGAGAGCATTAAGTAATCATATAATTTTTTTAAACGGCTAAGTAATCTTATAATTAATTTCAATCTCATAATTAAGGCAATGAAACAAAAACAATGCTCACCTTCCTAACTGGGTCTTCAGGCATTGTATCAGAGATAACTTCTAGAGGAGACATGTGTTTTTTGTTGAATACTCGTACATTCAATTTTGGGTGATGAACAAGATCCAGTGCCAACTGCCAAGGGATTATTAGCATTCACCAAATGATGGAGAGGCGCATCACCAGAGTTATCCTTTGCGTTTATAAGGTTGCTGAAGCATTCATTATCTAAGATTATTCGAAGAATTTCCCTTCTATTTCTATCCGCCTTTACAGCAAAGTGAAGGACACTCCATCCCTTCTTGTCAACTTGCTCGAAGCAATCTGGGCAAGTTGACATGAATTCCTCTACCACTTTTGTTTTCCGTTTACTAGCTGCAACATGAGGAGCTGTCTTCTCTTCTTCTTTGTCAGCCATGTAAGCTGCATTTTTATCCTTTTCTAGTAACATTTTAACAATTGAAGCGAAACCTTGTTGCGCAGCGTAGTGAAGCGGAGTCCACCCTGAGTTGTCTGCTCTTCTGGTAATCAGTTTTCTGAACTTTCTACATAATTTCTCCACGATCTCTACGAGGAAGAAAAACAATATATATATATATATATGTATATGAGGAAGGATCGTTTATACACAAATCGTATCTAACAAGTTAAATAAAATTTTAATTATTTATTTATTTACTTTTAATTATTTGAGTTTTTTCAGTGTTTTTTAGATAAAAAAAATTATTTTTAATAAATACAAATAAATTTTAATTATTAAAAAGTAAAAAAATGAATCATTGAGGCTTTTGTAGACGTCTCTAAATGTAACAAACTAATTTCATTTTCATTCAAAAAAAAAGAAAAAAATGTGTTATCCCAAAAAATCTCTTTTGACACGTGGCAAATGAAATAGCGTGCAACTTGCTTTCCTCAAAACAAGAGAGATTTCTCCGACGACCCTCTCTTCTTTCCAAGCGTGGAACTCAGTTTGTGAGTTGATGGAAGGATGTCGTAAACTGCGCCTTAAAGATTAAACGATTGGCAGAAACGAGGGATGAACTTCCTGCACTAAATGGGTTATACGGCAAAATGCCTTAGATATGATTCTAAAGACTCCTCAAAGCTAATGTAATCAAGAAAAGTTAAGACTGCAAAGAAAATAAATGATTGCTAAACTACTGAAAATCTAAATGAACTTTAAATACGCAAACTGGGTTGAAACAAAGCTTTAAAAGGAAATTTAATTGTAGCAAAAATAAATTAAGTTAAAGTAAATAAAATCGAAAACAAAAAAAATCTACTGGCAACATGAAATATAAATTAACAGAAATTAAATTGAATATGAAATTAAATGTCGACATCATTTGATTTAATTAAAGGAAACTTGGAAAATAGAAAAGGAAAGGAAGCAATCCAATCACAAAGAAATACTACTGAAGGCAATGAAACTCACCATTACAAATCTAACAAAAGGAGAACTGAATTGCTAAACTAATCTAAGCTGAAGCGTAGAGCTAAAACTAAACTAAAGGGTTTGAAACTAAGATGATTCTGAGCATAAAGAGAAATTGTGCGGAGTTTGTTGTGTGAGATGTTGATCCTTTGCTTGATCTCATCATCGGGTATTTACAGCACCTTGGTAGCATGGTGGAGATCTGTGGCAGTATCTTGAAAAACCAATGGCAACGTGATATCTGCAACAAACTAATTAATTTGTTGGTGCTGCAATTATCCTCTTGGAGCTCGCAACAAGAGAACGGTTTTGCTGCCGTTGTGGAAATAACCACTCAATCTTATTTAGAAAAATTTAGACCAACTTTCAACCAATAAAATATCTGCCAACATGGGTGACACGTGGCAGTACTCTATTTGTTGTAAAATTAGGTGTAAACATTGCCCCCTAATTTTTGGCCTTACGGGAGTAGGTGTAAAAAATTTAGGACCTTAGTGACAGTACTCAACTTCTTTGTGCCCTTATCCTCTTTTGTAAGCCCCAAATTTCCTCAAGAGCTTCCTTCCTTTCAACAGTTTACTTTTGCTGTTTACGATTTCGTTTCCGTTTTGGAATCGAAAACGTGGCCGACTACAATTTTTGCGACACAATTGCAATTCTTCACCACTTAAGACTCGGAAACATGATCAACTCCAATTCATTATAAAACATAGCCACTCCCCCGATAACCATCATCACAGATTTGCTGCTGTTTCTCTCTTTCTATTTTTCTAGTTTTCGCATCATCTCTGTTAAGCCATTCCAGTCATGGCCAGCCAATTTCTTGCTCAAGAATTACAGCAAGGAGGAAGCCTCAAATCCCTTAAAGTCGAAAGAAGAAAATTACTAGTTGAGCTCCAAGAATAAGGGCGAGAAGCTTTGGCTGCAAAGAGTGGGGCTGCACAACAGGAAGAGAAAGCAAAGGAAGCCCACAACACACTGTAGCAAATGAGAGATGAGTGGGCCACCTGGATGTAGAACCTTTGCTAGTTTTTTTTTTCTTTTTCTTTTTTTCAACATCATTTATCCTTGTCACGGTCATTGAGCCGCTTAAACATTTATTTCCAGACTTCTTTTGGCTCTTCCTTTTGCTAATGATGAACGATGAATTTATTTTCTTACTTAATTCATGCTACCCATGACTTTTGCAAACAAAACGACTCTAAAATAAGAACTTAAGAATATGCCATGCCTCATTGGTAGCACCAAATCTTATGTATGCTTCCATAGTTCAAGCCAAAACTCTACGTGTCCTTATTGAAAGAAAACCTGGATCATGCAGACGTGGAGGCAGAACTATCCCATGCCTCCCACACAGTCGGATAAAACGGTTTCAAGTACATGCCATTGATCTTGTGCGGATGCAACTCCCCATTCAAAGACTTTAACCAATAAGCACCCCCTTTAAGAACTTTATGAATTTGGAATGGTCCTTCCCAATTAGGGGACCACTTACCATATCTCGAATCCTTCTTGCCAAGCGGCAGCACAACCTTCCAGATCAAGCTTCCTTTGGCTAAATTCTTTTGCTTGACCCTTTTGTTGTAAGCTCGTGCCACCTTAAGCTTTTGGGCCTTCATCACATCCAATGCTGTCAGCCTTGCTTCCTCAATGTCTTCCAACTCCATGATCGTGGCCTCATTGTATTCCCCACAATTTAAGCCATTTTGAATTGCAATCCGCAGAGACCTTGCCATTAATTCCATAGGCAAGACAACATCATGACCATAAGTAAGAAAGAATGGGGTCACTTTAGTTGAACTCCGTTGTGAGGTTCTGTATGCCTAGAGAGTATCTAAAAGAAGCTCATGCCATCTCCTAGGATTATCATCAACCATTTTCTCTAGGATGTTGATGATAATCTTATTAGATGCCTTTGCTTGACCATTTGCTTGTGCATAATGCGGAGTTGAATTGAGCAAACGAAATCCCATGTCCTTTGCAAAGGCCTCTACTTAAGATCCAACAAAGGCAGTACCTTTATCAGAAGTGATAGTCTCTGGAAGGCCAAACCTATGGATCAGATCTTCTTTTATGAACTTGATGACATCTTCTTGCTCAATCTTCTTCATAGGCCTTGCATCCACCCACTTAGTAAAGTAATATGTAGCAACGATTATGAAAGAATGGCCTTTAGAAGAAGATGGATAACTTTTCCCAATCAAATCAATTGCCCAACCACGAAAAGGCCATGGCTTGACAATAGGATGTAACTCAGAAGCTAGTACTCGTTGCAAAGGACCATGCAATTGACAAGCTCTGCAGCCCTTCGCATAATTGATGCAATCTTTAAGAATAGATGGCTAAAAGAAACCATGCCTTCGAATTAGCCACCTTATCTTAATCCTTGCCTGATGAGCACCACAAATACCATTTTGAACATCTGACATCACATGGCAACTTTCATCAGGACTGAGGCAGCTCAATAATAATTCATCCTGCCCCTTACGATACAGGACATCCCCCAGTAACACATAGTTTAAAGCTTGCATCCTCGTTCTCCTTGATGCTTTAGAACTAGGATTCCTCAAATGTTCTATTATTGGATGCCTCCAGTTTGTAGGTGTGACATCTAGTGAGCATGCTTCCACTGTCATCCCTCTTTGATGAATTGAAGGTAGCATACGTTTTTCAATGACGATCACTTTCTTCAAGATGCCTTCAGGAATTTTTACACTTGAAGCAATCTGCGCAAGTTCATTTGTTTCAACATTTATGTTGCAAGGAATATGCTTTAGGGAGACATCATCAAATTCCTCTAGTAGTTGGATGGCAGTAGTGAAATATGGAGACAAAACCACGCTTGTACACTTGTATTCGCCACTCAATTGAGAACTAATTGAGAATCACCCACAATTTCAACCGATGGCACCTTCAACTCTACCAACAACTCAAGGCCAATGACCAAAACTTCATATTCTGCTTGGTTATTGGTGCATTCAAAATCCAACTAAAAACACCATTGGGTTTTATTCCATCTAGAGAAACAATAATAATTCCAGCCCCAAAGGCTTGATCAGTGCTAGACCCATCAAAAATAAGCCTCTAAGGAACCAAATCAATAGAAAAGAGATTGATTCCCTTGTCTTCATCAGCGTTAACATCTAAACAAGGATGATATGCTAAAACGTCGGCTAGGGCTTATCCTTTGACAGCTTTTTGAGGCAAATATCTCAAATTAAATTCAGTAAGTGCAAGAATCCACTTACCAATGCGGCCTTTTAATAGTGGCCGTGACAGCCTATATTTTATGACATCAATTTTTGAAACAACAAACACCTCCAAATACAATAAATAGTGCCTCAATTTTATTGCTGCAAAGAACAAAGCCAAACACAATTTTTCAACCAAAGAATATTTCACTTCAGTCGGATTTAAAGCTTTACTCAAATAATAAATGACTTGTTCTTGTTTGTTATTATTCTCTTGCGCCAGTAGATAGCTAATTGACTCATCTGCGACGGATATATACAGCAATAAGTGTTTATTCTTAACTGGAGGAATCAACATAGGTGGCTTGGACAAGTATTCCTTGATGGCATCAAACGCAGCTTGGTGCTGCCTCTCCCATTTAAAATCTGCATCAAGCTACAACTTCAAAAGAGGTAAAAAGACACAAGTTTTGCCTGCCAAATTAGAGATAAACCTCCTTAGAAAATTAACCTGACCAAGAAACCTTTGTAATTCCTTTTTATTTTGTAGTGGCCGCACTTCAATTACGGCCCTTACTCTACAATAAAGATGCACAACCATTTTCTTTAGGTTCTTTTGGAAACTTGGGATGCACAACCTTCTCCCACCTTTTACTTGGAGGTCGTTGTGGAGGCTTAACCATACGAGAGTGATCTATATGCCAAGCCTCCTTCATCATGGATCTGGAGGCATAGATTTTGGCAGCATGGCGTTGCCCCCCGAGTCTCTGATTCTATTAGGCATGACGTTCCCTTTCCTTCTCAATCACCCAACGAAGGTCATTTGCAACCAAAGTTTGCCCTTTATACGTCCTTCGAGAGATGCTTCTTATGTCAGCAACATTAACTCCAACATCAACGTTCGAAAAAGGATGTTCGTCAACCCCCATGGCTTCTTTAGGTTTTTCAGGGAAATAAAGCAACCCTTTGTCAATCTTATCTTGCAACACATGTTGAAAAATAATACAGTCATTAGTAGAGTGTTTCCAGGAGTTATGAAACTTACAATAATCTTTGGATGCAATTTCAGCAACTGTCGAGAGCCTATGTCCCTGCGACAACTTAATATGTCCCGACTTTTTCAGATAATCAAGGATTTCATTTATGTTAGTCACATCAAATGTCTATTGTCTCCCAGATTCATACAAGAGACGCTTTGCAGCTGCCTCAACCTGTTGCTTTGGTAAGGCAACATGACATTTCATCTGGGCTTTTCTAAACCGCATAAGATAATTTTCAGAAGATTCCCCTAGTCGTTGTTTCAATCTAGAAAGATTAGCCATGGATATCTCAGGCTTTGAGCAGTATAATTGAATATGAAACAAATCTTCCATTTGTCTCCAAGTAAATACAGAATGTTGTGGCAGACTTAGGTACCATATCAATGCAGTACCAGTTAAAGAACTTGGGAAGAGTCTCAACTTCAAAAAATCATCACTTGATGCTTCCCCACATTGAATATTGAACCTACCAATGTGTTGAATGGTTGACTAACTCGCATCCCCAGAAAACAAAGTAAATTTAGGCACTTTGAATTCATGAGGAAATGGATTATCCCAATCTATGTAATCTGGATACGGTTTTTGATAGGAAGGACGAACCAATGGTCTTGAAGCTAGACCATATGTGTCCTGGACTAGATCAATTAGTTGATTTCTATCCAAGGGAGGGGGTGCTGCTTGCAGCCCTAATGGTTGAAAGGCATTATTTTGTAAGTTGGGCTATGGGACGCTGTGCAGGAGGTACATATCTTTGTTGATTGGTGTTGAGTTGCTAAGCTGCACGGAATGCTGCTTCCACAGGATCTTGTGGTCCAAGGATGCCACCAACAAGATTGATTTGCTGCTGCTTATTAAACTGCACTTGGACTGCACCAAGAGCATTGTTTTGAGTATTGGGCATCTGTTGCACTATTTGTGGCTGATTAATATGCCCCCCGGGCAAAGGATCTAGAAGATTTTGCTGTGGTAATTCCATTTCTAGAGGTACGGGTTGCCTTGGAACATTTTGCTGTTGTCGAACATGTTCTATGGTTCTCTTAGAAACTGTAGTGAAGGTTTTACGACTTTTTGCTACTTCTTCTCGAATAGCTCAAGAACTTTCATTAATGGCCCTTTCAATAACATTCAGATATTGAGTGAAATGATTTGACTGTTGTTGTTGGGCCTGTAGAAAGCTTGCTAGACTACGCTTTATGTTCTGATTGGCTTATTCTTGTAGTTTCCTTATCTGCTGAAGTTCTTGAGATATTTTATTGCTTTACTCAGCAAATTCATCCTTTTCATCATCCTTGCCATACATGGGATTGCCATATGAGCGATCAGCCAAGGGAGAAATAGGTGGAAGATGCTTTGGACTATTTTCACCTTCATAATGTCTTGGACTCACAAGAGCAACTTCCACTTGTTATGCAACTTCTTTTCCAACTCTCTTAGGCATGGTTATGGCTGCTTTATGCCCTAGAAAAGCAAAAAGAGGATAAAAAAACTTTTCTTGATAGACGATCGCCAGCAGGAGGTCCCACCAGGCATGCCAAAAAAAGATTGTTATCCCAAAAAATCTCCTTGACACGTGGTAGATGAAATGGCGTGCCACTTGCTTTGCTCAAAACAAAAAAAGATTTCTTCGATGACCCTCTCTTCTTTCCAAGCATGGAACTCAATTAATGAGTTGATGGAAGAACGTCATAAACTGCGCCTTAAAGATCAGATGATTGGCAGAAACGAAGGATGAACTTCCCACACTAAATGGGTTACATGGCAAAATGCCTTGATATGATTCCAAGAACTCCTCAAAGCTAATGTAATCAAGAAAAGTTAAAACTGCAAGGAAAATAAATGATCGTTAAACTACTAAAAATCTAAATGAACTTTAAATACGCAAACTGGGTTGAAACAGAGCTTTAAAAGGAAATTTAATTGCAGCAAAAGTAAATTAGGCTAAAGTAAATAAAATCAGAAATAAGGAAAATCTACTAGCAGCATGAAATATAAATCAACAAAAATGGAATTGAACATGAAATTAAATGTCGACATCATTTAATTTAATTAAAGGAAACTTGGAAAATAGAAAAGGAAAGGAAGCAATCCGATCACAAAGAAATACCACTGAAGGCAATGAAACTCATCATTATAGATCTGACAAAAGGAGAACGGAATTGCTAAATTAATCTAAGCTGAAGCATAGAGTTAAAACTAAATTAAAAGGTTTGAAACTAAAATGATTCTGAGCGTAAAGAGAAATTGTGTTGAGTTTGTTTTGTGAGATGTCGATCCTTTGCTTGATCTCATTATCGGGTATTTATAGCACCTTGGTAGCATGGTGAAGATCTGCGGCAGCATCCTGAAAAACCAACGGCAGTGTGATATCTGCAACAAACCAATTTATTTGTTAGTGATGCAATCATCCTCCTGAAAGCTTGCAAGAAGAGAATGGTTTTGCTTGATCTCATTATCGGGTATTTATAGCACCTTGGCAGCATGGTGGAGATCTGCGGTAGCATCCTGAAAAACCAACGGCAGTATAATATCTGCTACAAACCGATTAATTTGTTGGTGCTGCAATCATCCTCCTGGAAGCTCGCAACAAAAAAACGATTTTGTTGCCGTTGTGGAAATAACCACTCAATTTTATTTGGAAAAATTTAGACCAACTTTCAACTAATAAAATGTCTGCCAACATGGGTGACACGTGGCAGCACTCTATTTGTTGTAAAATTAGGTGTAAACAAAATGATACCATCATTTTTGCAGAGAACTGCAGCATGGAGAGTAGTTCTTCCATGCGGCCCATGGTAATCTGGTGATTCACATTTTAAGATCTCCTCTACAACGTGGCGAGCTCCCATTTCTGTAGCTATGTATGGTGGAGTCTCACCATCATTATCTAGACCATATTGGTAACAATGGTCTTCATCGATCAATATCTTCACCACTTGGAGGTAAGTACAGCGCACAGCCTCATGTAAGGCCGTGTCTCTCACTACATTTTTCATCAATGTGAATATCGTTTCACCCTTTTTATTGGGCTGCCATAACAGTTCTTTGCACTGTGCAAGAGCCTGGTTCACAAAGTCAACTGATTCAGTTCTGGCTATTTTCCTTTGGTAATAAGGTATGGCCGCTGTTATGCAAATATGCAAGATTGTGTTCTCATCGACTCGCGTCACCAGTTGCGTGAGACTGTCTGCGTCGATTTGCTCAAAAGAGTGGAAATCACCTTTTGTTGCTCGATAGTAACGCTTGCTGTTCAGTTGGTTACCATCATCTGCTAATTGGTTAATCGAATCTTCCTGGACCATATCGGGGTTCACATCCAGTACCACAGAGCTTCCAGATCCATGAACAGCCGCCATGGGAAAATTTAAATCTATAAATATGCTTTAGATATATAGAAGGACCTATTGTTAAACAAAGAATACATGTGCTAAAATTTATGGTGAAAATTAGATTAAATGAACTTCTCCACGTTCCATGGACATCTTATGAACAAGATATATAAATATGGTAGATAATTAATGCTTGGACAAAATGCAAACTTCTGTTGCTAAATATTCTTGGAATCTATGGGTGGAATCATAAAGGAAAATGTACTGTATTATTTAAAAGAAAAATAGAAAGTGTAAGAAAAAGGACTGCTCAATGCCTCAATTAGCAGATTTAAGGAAAATTACCTCTTGAATCCTTTAATGCTAGCTCGTGCAGACACTTGAGGAAAATTACCTCTTGAATCATGAGTAAAATGACTTATTAACATATGAATATGAGAAGTAGAAGCATATGACTTGTTTTAAAAAAAATTCCTAGAATAAATTACACAAAGCAATACTAAAAAAACAGAAAAAAATTACTCTCTTTCATTATCAGGTCTCTGGACTCTTCTAAGGAAGAAATAGAGAGGATAGAAATGTTGCTAGCAGGAATGGAATTCCGTCTTAATTAGCACGCGCTGTTTAAACAGGACCATTTCCTATTTTCCTTGCTTGCTCAAACTTTTTCTGACAAAAGTCTTCTGCGTGCTGCAGCTTTCACGTTCATCGATTTGAAGAAATGTAGAGCTACAACAATTTCAGAGAAACATGTGAAGACGAAAAGAGGCGCAGAAAGGATGCAAATATCAGCAACAAGGGAAGGATTTGGACTTAAAACTGCACACGTCCCTGAAACAAATGCAACCACCATTGCAATCAGGGCGAACAAATTGCAGTTATGGGCCGTGTTTGAAGCAACCACGCTCCTGCCCTCATACAGTATCCAAAACAGATGAATGAATACACCAGAACTGGAGAGTACAAAGGCAATCGCATTTGAAAAAACAAACACTATGAAAGCTGGCTTTCTTATAAGAACTGGATAACCTGCTTGATTGGAACTGTTGTCACTTGTATAGCCACCCGGGTAGGTGAAACCAGCCGCAAAGGTAACTGTTGCTATGAGAATTGATATCAATAAACCGACATCTTTTCGATGCTTTTCTAAATACTCTCTTCTGTTTTTGGCCTTATTGCGTACGTCCTTTGTTTCCTGGCCTAATCCATCTTTCCTTATTTCAGTCTGATCTTCAATTCCCCCTCCTTCCTTGCCTTCATCTTCGTCTTTGATTTGTCGACTGGGTGTGTTGCCAACACGCCTCAAAGCAGCTGCAGTGACAATCTGCAACATTACAATGTCTTAAATAACTTTATAAGATACATATGTATATATGCGAGTTTGCAACATGGATGAGAGAACTAAGTATTCATATAATTTTTTTTTAACAGCGAAAAAATCATATAATTTGTGTAGTGTGTGTAGTGTATTAAAGTGAAGTGTGTATTAATAAGTATCCTATACTTAATTTCAATCTCATGAGGCAATGAAACAAATTAAAACAGTGCTCACCGTCGAAAATGAGTATGCAGGCGCTGGAGGTATGATAACTTCTAGAGGAGACAAGTTTTTTTTGTTGAATACTCGTGCATTCAATTTTGGATGAAAAAGGAGATCCAGTGCCAAGGGAAAATTAGAATTAGCCAAATAATGGAGCGGCGTATTACCACTGCCATCCTTTGCGTTTATAAGGTTGCTGAAGCATTCATTATGTAGAATCAATTTAAGAGTATGATCATGCATATTTCTATTGGCCTTTACCGCAAAGTGAAGGGCATTCTGTCCATTCTTGTCAACTTGCTCAAAGCAATCTGGACAAGCTAACATAAGTTCCTCTACCACTTTTGCTTTCCCTTTACTAGCTGCAACATGAAGAGCTGTCTTCTCTTCTTCTTTGTCAGCCATGTAAGCTGCATTTTTATCCTTTTTCAGTAACAATTTAACAATTGAAGCGAAGCCTTCTTGTGCAGCAAAGTGAAGTGGAGTCCACCCTGAGTTGTCGGCTTTTCTGGTAATCCGTTTTTTGAACTTTCGACATAATTTTTTCACGATCTCTACAAGGGAGAAAAAGAAAAAGAAAATATTAATATATATAAAAGAAGATCCTCCTAAATGTAACAAACTAGTTTCGTTGGCCTTTTTTTTTTAAAAAAAAAAAAAAAACCTAACTTTGTTACCATAATTGTTGCAAAGAACTGCAGCATGGAGAGCAGTTCTTCCATGCGGGCCATCGCAAGCTGGTGATTCACATTTTAATATCTCCTCTACAACGTCGCTATCTCCCATTTCTGCAGCTATGTATAGTGGAGTCTCACCATCATTATTTTGACCATATTGGTAATTACGGTCTTCACTGATCAATAACTTCACCACTTGGAGGTGAGTATAGCGCACAGCCTCATGTAAGGCCGTGTCTCCCACTTCATTTGTCATCTCCAACAGGGGCTGTGGTCTGTCAACTGCTTGGTCGTTTTGGCGAGCTTCTTCATCTTTAGTTAGGAGGGCTAGCACAATATCGTGATGCCCGTGCCTAGCTGCAATGTGAAGTATTGTTTCACGCTTTTTATTGGGCTGCCATAACAGTTCTTCGCACTTTACAAGAGCCTCGTTCACAAAGTGAACTGAATCATTGTTCTCAGTTCCGTCTGTTTTCCTTCGGTAGTAAGGTGTGGCAGCTGTTATGCAAATATGCAAGATTGTGTTCTCATCGACTCGCGTCACCAGTTGCGTGAGAGGGCCTGCGTGCTCCTCAAAAGCATGGAAATCACCTTTTGTTGCTCGATAGTACAGCTTGCTGTTTAGTTGGGTACCAGGATCTTCCTCGGCCTCAATTGGGTTCACATACTGTGGCTCAGAGCTTGGTTGGTTACCTGAAGCATTTCCTAATTGGCGATTCGAATCTTCCTCGATCTTTAGTGCCAAGTGATTTGTTTGGTTATCTGAATTTTCTTGGACCACATCTGGATTCATATCCACTACCTCAGCGTTTTCAGATTGAGGAACAACTGCCAGATATGGGAAGATTTGAATCTATAAATATGCTTTAGATAAACGAATGTAATTAAACAGAGAATCTAAAATTCATGATGAAAATTTACCAAAAACGGACGATGATTAAATGAACTTGGATTCTCCAGGTTCCACAGACATCTTATGAACAAGATAAATATGGTAAATAATTAATTCTTGGACATAATATATGGAAATTCTGCTGCTAAGTATTACTGGAATCTTATTAGTTTTCTGGTGGAATCATAAGAGAAAAAGGTACTATTTAAAAGAGAAAGAGAACGTGTAAGACTGCTCAATGCCTCATCAATTACAGATAAAGGAAATCACCTCTTGAGACTTGAATCCTTTAATGCTAGCACTCGCAGACACTTGAAAATGGAATCAAATTCTTTATTTCTCACTCAAGATCTGATTTTCTTTCCCTTAAGTTTGCTCAATTCAGAATGAACTCTCGCTTGTTATTTATTGAGCAGAAAAATCTTTAATTTTCAGTCAAGTTTAAATATTTTAATAAAAATAATTAATATATAACAAATTTATTTAAAATATTTAAATAATTTTATTAAAAAATTAATATTTTAAATATTAAAATGTTTTAATTTTTTAATTAAAATTAAAACAATTTATGCAATAA